TATGTAATTGTATGCTAGTATTAAAAGAGAGAATCAATCTGATAAGAAATGGTGACAACTTGTTTGAAAATGAAGCGTAAAAGGTTATCAGCAAAGATGTTCCGTTTGGCACCAGTTGTACTATTAATAGTACAGTCAAAAGTCATTAATTCGGACACCCGTGATCCAGAATGATCTATAATCCGGACCTCAAAGCTAAAAACTTTCTGCGCATGCGCATAGGCGCTTACACGTGCGCGTAAGACCTTTACGATTGCACATATGCGCGTGCGCGTTTTATGTATAACGGACGGTATAAGAAAAAATTATCTAATTATCTATTTCAGTTAATGTTGATGATTGTGTTGTTCCTTAATCTTCAAATTGGATCCTGCTTATTATTTTTTGCAGACTGTAAGAGCAATTTTATAAAAGTAAACTTGAACTTTCGATTATGTCAAATAGAATTTTCGATGCTGGAGCTCTCAAAGGATCTACAAAACAAAAGTATGTTTCGATGTCCATCAAACAAAAAGTGGAATTGCTGCAAAAAATGGATAAAGACATGAAGAAGGTGACAGAGAGGTTAGTGAAAGCAAAAAAAATTTCGATTGACAAGTTAGTCGGTATTCTTGGCACAGCAATTACGGGACTTGAACAGCGGAACTTTGTAACTTAACAAGAAATTATGTTCTGAATTAAAGAGAAAGTATTATCACATAAAATGAAGCAACTTAAACAACTTACATTGAAGAAATGTTTTAATAAAGTAAACAAATAAATATCAAGCTTTTTTTTTTTTTTTTGTAAATTTGGATACCCTTTAGATCATAATTGCTCTCTATTTCATATATTACAGTTTCATATTTTTAATTTTAGAATTTCTGCATGCCATCTTACGAGATTAAACATGTCATCTTACGAGATTATCACATAAAACGAAGCAACTTAAACAACTTACATTGAAAGAAATGTTAATTAATAAATAAACAAAAACCTTAAATAAAATTTTTTTTTTTTTTTTTTTTTTTTTTTTTTGTAAATTTTGATACCCTTTAGATCATAATTGCTCTTTATTTCATATATTACGGTTTCATATTTTTAATTTTAGAATTTCTGCATGCCATCTTACGAGATTTAAACTGATGATCTATAATCCGGAAAAATCGATAATCCAGAATCGCCGAAGTCCCGATGAGTCCGGATTAACGACTTTTGACTGTAGTAGTTTTGCCGGCGCAAGCAATAAAGTCACCATGGTGACTTTTGCCTTTATTGTCACCATGGTGACTATCACCGGCGCTGGCAAAACAAAAAAGTACTGATTTATATTTATAGATTTTTCTGGTGTGTTACTCATGTTCATGTTTAATAGCAATGAATGTAAAATAAACTGAAAGTTCAAATAAGTAAACCATAGAAATTTTTGCATCATTGTATTTTCAACAAATGCATAACTGAAATAGATTCGTCAACCCCATCAAATTGCTTCGGGGGCCGCCAGTTCACACTGTTATAGACAACGTTCAAATTGCACAAAAGTAATATTTAAGTATTTAACTTTTCATGTAATAAATACAGACAAATTCAAATAACCTTATCCTGTTCTATTTGATTGGTCTCTTTCTGAAATTTAAACAATTGCATAACAATCGTGAAAAGCCATAGAAGCGCCTGTTATAAATCTTGTTTTTCTGCAGTTATGAAATTCAGGATCATATTTCTTTGGTTACCTACATGAAAACTATTTTTGCACTTAAACACGAAAAAAAGAATACAAATAACCCTTTTAACCTTATTAATCGAAATTATATGCATAAAAGAATCCTGAATGGAAAATATAAACCTGACTGAATGATTGAACAGGCTGGAATACATTTCGAGGATGCAATATTATGCATATTTTATTTTTTAAACATTCATCTTTAACTATGTGATATACAGTCAAAAGTCGTTAATCCGGACTCGTCGGGACTTCGGCGATTCCGGATTATCGATTTTTCCAGATTATAGATCATCAGTTTAAATCTGGAAGGATGGCATGCAGAAATTATAAAATTAAAAATATGAAACCGTAATTTATGAAATAAAGAACAATTATGATCTAAAGGGTATCAAAATTTACAAAAAGAAAAAGCTTAATATTATTTGTTTACTTTATTAAACATTTCTTTCAATGTAAGTTATTTAAGTTACTTCGTTTCATGTGATAATACTTTCTCTTTAATTCTATTAAACAGACATAATTTCTTGTTTAGTTACAAAGTTCCGCTGTTCCAGCCCTATAATTGCTGTGTCGAGAATACAGACTAACTTCCGAAATTTTTTCGTTTTCAATAACCTCTGTGTCACTTTCTTCACTATCGGAAGTGAATTATATAACTTGATTTAAATCATATCAAAGACGCAGTACATCGAGATGAAATATTACATTTAGTAAGGAATTATAAGCCAAATAAAATAAAAACATCGGAAGCACTTCCGCAGAGAACCCGGTAAATGTAAACATCGCCAACTTTGGCGATAATAGTTCAAGCCTGGTAACCTAGCTAATTCATCTTGTTCACTTATGCGAAGGTTGTCGTTGTTGGCGTTTGGAGATTTATATTATTTTTCTCTTATTTATTATTATTTTTTCTGAATTTTTTAACAACGAATAGATAGAAATATTTTCGCATAATTAAAGAAGTTTTCGTCGAAAGATGCCGGTTCTCGGGTCGTCAGTTCGGGATCAAAGGAAGAAATTATGGCGGGAGGGGTGAATGCTAATTTGTAACATGGCTGTTCACGTTATGTTCTTAATTATTAACAACTGTAAGCACATAGAACCATGAGGTTTCCAACCCCTATAATAATTTTAAAATGTATAAAGTTCTAGTTTTATTAAAAATGCTACTGAAGAAAATTTGATTACTGTTGAAGGTTATTTGTATTGTGAAATATATTATGAAAAAGGATAGGTATTTGTTTCAACGTAAAATGCTTTAAGCTGTATGCAAGTAACTTGAAAAAAAAAAAAAACTTAAAACTATGTAAAATGGATATATTAAAGGTCATGCATTCATTAATTTATTACATGGGCATGGCTCTTACCGAAATACATCAATCAACAGGCAAAGTACTTAATAGTGGAAAAAAGACATTTGTAATAGAAATATTAGTATTCTATATGAATTAGAGAAAACACATATAAGTATATTGTAAACGTAAGTATAAGAAAACTAATTGTTGTTTTTTAAATGAATTTTTACTTCCCGTTATGTTTAATACGTTGTTTTCTGTGCTAACTTGAATTTACATCACTAAAAACCACGTTTACAAAATATCACGCTTACGGCTCGGCTCATCCTCGATAAGCCGCGAGCTTGGCGAGTAAAACTGCAACGGCGCCAAAGGGTTCTTTCCCGAAGCGCCAACGGGTTCTCTGCGGATGAAAATCCAAAACATCTGCCCTGAAGATAAGGATAGTGCTGACAGATCAACTTCCAATTCATTGCGTGCCGTGTCGTTTCCCTCCCCCCGCAGAGCAGCGTGAAATTGATGATTGATAGTATGATTGATATTTTGATTTTTACGTGGCTCTGGGTATACGAAGCGAACTCAAAAATCATGGTAAGTGAATATTTGCTTTTGGTAGTGCTTAAATGTATAACATGTTTTTGCTTTTTTATGTTATTTCATTGTTTGGTTTAAAATGTATTTTATTGAGATTATGTATTTTTTGTTTGCCTATATTGTAGAATTTGGTGCTCATTTGACTTTTTAAGTGAAAATATATCGATGTGTACATGGACAAAGTAAAGGGAGTGCACAATGCAAGTTTGTGCAATTCTGGGAATTTTTTTTAAGTGAAAATATGTTTACGTGTGCATGGATAAAGTTAAAAGAGTGCACAATGCCATTTTTGTGCAATTCGGGGATTTTTTTTAAATGAAAATAAGTCAATGTGTACATGGATACTGAGTTTGTGCAATTGTCTTGTTATTTTGGCTTTGTGTAGCGGCGATTTTTGGCGCAAAAATCACCGCTTCGCAAGCCAAAATAACGAGTCAAAGAACTGCACAAAATTGGTATCCATGTACCGCCAAAAATCGCAAAGTTTCGCCAAGGGATACCCTAAACTACACTTTTACCTAAAATACTAAAATGAAAAAAGTATTTAGATTTACTTAGACACAAAAAAAAGTAATCGTTTACAATTTGTTCTATGTGTATATTTTACCATCTCAACGCAAACACACGGCCAACAAGCGACCGAACGGTAAAGTCGCTGAACACTAGTAATTCGGTCCGAGGTTTGAATTCCACAAACAGGCTCGCTGCATGGGCGTTTTCGTGGTTTTCCTCATGTGTAACATGTATACGAATCAGTTTCCCTTAGAAAAGTCCTCCACAAAGGCATCCCTCCCTTTAGGCAGATAGCCCTCGAGGCTTTGCCATACACACGCAAACACACTCAATGCAAACGCTACACTTTGCCTTACCCAATTTTTGCCCAGCAAAGCTTTTCCTCCCAATATTGGGCTCAAGAAGGAATTTTTGGAAAGCACCTTTTGTTGCTATTTCCCTTTTGGCATCAAAAAATTCCTCCCGAGGATATGGCGATTTTTTGCGATTCAAGATGGCGGAAAAAATTACGGCAAGTGCAGCTTATCTGAGTTTTTTCCATAAAATTCCAAATGCTTGAAAGTTTGACATTTTTTTTTAGAACACCAGCAAAAATTAGTAAAACTTAACCTAAAATATACATTACACCATACAACATAGTTATTCTCATTTTGAATAACAGCAGCTGAAGAAAGATAAAACTACAAAATTTAACTACTTTAAAAACTTTATATGGTATTTTTTTTGTTGAGGCAGACACAACACTAAGTCACTAAAACTGGCAAACTTCATTGCCCAGTTTGAAAATGCAAGCTTCAAATATCATCAAAGGCTTAGCAGTGGCCACTTTAACAAGAAAGTGAAGTGTTAATATACAAAAGTATTCATAATAGTTTATAAATTATTAAACAAACCTTTTTTGTTACTTCTAGAACTAATGCACTTTTTCAAAAATGATGACTTTACCCCACTCTGTCGAGGAGTCTGTTGTGAAAGTATTTGTATATAATCACTATCCCTAGAAAATAAAGCTTTGTAGACATCCATTTTAAACAAAAACCATAAATCAATATATAAGTATTGTCACAGCAATTTTAAATCACGTTTTTTAACAGTAGAAAAAGGGGGAAACCACACATAAAATAGTCCAAACTTCCAATGACTAGAATTCGATGAATTTTCCATTTAATTGATTAAAAAATTTGTTCAGGATCTTTAAAAACGGAAGCACTTCCGGAGAGAACCCGGTGAATGTAAACATTGCCAAATTTGGCGATAATAGTTAAAATCTGGTAACCCAGCGGATTCAACCTATTTGCTTGTTGCAACCATTTTGTTTCGTTATCACTGTGGTTCTTCGCATTTGCAGATTTCTATTATTCTTCTTTTATTTATACTTTTTTTCTTAATTTTTTAACAACGAATAGATAGAAATATTTCGTAGGATTCCGGTTCTCGGTTCGGGATGAAAAGGAAGAAAATAAAGCAGGAGGGGTGAATGCTAATTTGTAACACGGCTGTTCACGTTGTGTTCTTAATTATTAACAGCTGTACGCACGCAGAACCATGAGGTTCGAAACGCTCAAATAATTCGTTTCGTACTCCAAAAAATGTGCGTTTTAAATAATTAAGCAATGCTTTTATTTTTATTATTGTTTATTGTCACCTAAAACTATGATAATAAATCAATTTTATGGCATAAATTGTAACAATATATTGTTAATGCTTTTCTTACAATAACCTTCAGAGGATGGCAGGTGTGACAAAATAGATTATTAAATTTTAATAATAAATACTATTTATACTGATTATCTGTGACAAGAATAGTTTTGATGTATTCCCATGGTCATCAAAATTAGCAAACCACTGCTGGTGTAAGGAATATAGTTCAAATGACTCTTGAAAAGTAATGAAATGTGTAATGTTCAAGTTTTATTAACAATGCTACTGAAGAAATTTGATTACTGTTGAAGGTTATTAGTATTGTGAAATAAATTATGAAAAGGATGGGTATTTGTTTCAATGTAAATGCTTTAACCTGCATGCAAGTAACTTAAAAAAAAAAAAAAATACTGAAAACTGTTAATCAGAGTTCATACACATTTTCTGCCACAGAAATTAAGGACCATTAATGAAAAAAAATTCAGGACCTATGATAAACGCGAACTGAATAAATCAATAAAAATATTAGCGATGCCTGCATTTCACATTTGTAATACCATCCTAAAAATAAAATAGATCCAAAGTAGTATGTATTATTACTAAACATGAATTAACATAATTATTAATAAGTTGAAAATGAAATAAACTTTAAGTAATTGATCAAGTAGCATTAAAATTTTTACACTATAATAGTTGGGCATATTTGAAAGAAGTGACATTTACCATTTTACTAACTTTATGTAACTTTTTTTTTATGTCTCATAATGTCACATACTTGGTCAGGCTAGCGGTTAGTAAGTAGCAGGTTGATTTATATGTCAAATGGCATAGGTTAAAATGAGAAGTATCTAATCAGCAAAATTCAGAACAAAAGTTAATAATTTAATAATTAATTTGTTTAAATTTAATACCAATTTATTTCCGTATATCCGTTTAACCTGTAGTTTTACATCTACATGCTTTTATCTGTGAATTTTTACTACCATATGCTTAATATATTGTTTAGTCTGCTACTAGAATTTACATGCACTAAAATCACGTTTACAAAGTATCACATTTACGGCTCGCCTCAAGCGTCGATGAAACGCGAGCTTGGCGAGTAAAAATGGAACGGCGCCAACGGGTTCGCTCCCGAAGCGCCAACGGGTTCTCTGCGGATGAAAACCCTTAAAAACTAATACAAATATGACTTCATATGCGAAACTAAGTAAATGCCGATTAAATTCATCAAACAGAATTAGTGAAGTTAGTAGTAATAAGTATAAAATCCACGGGTAAAGTGCAGAATCGACCACTTATTTGTTTGGCGCTTTTTTTTTTCTTTTTAAGAGTAAGAAGAATTGGATTTTTGTCAATTTTCTTTGACTTTTTAAGTGAAAATAATGTGTACATGGATAACGAATCTGAGCAATTCTTAAAAACACGTCAAGCAGTGGGTGATTCTGCACTTTCCCCAAATCCAGGACCCAGAAACTAAATGTTAGTAAATAAACATATGACCTGTTTTGAATTAATCTGTAAATTTAAAAAAAAAACCTATAATTAAACTATTACAGTATAGAATAACGATTTGCTCAGGATCTTTAAAAACTGGAAAACTGTCGCCAACACCAAAATGACCCGTTCAACTACTCATCGTATATGTCGCGTTTACTGCTCATCATAAAGCCGCCAAAAGTAGCCAAATGCCTTGTGCAATGGATACTAGGAGAAATATATAGCAATATTTAATATGCGAAAATAAGCAAATGCCTACTAAATCCAACAAACGGAATTAGTGAAGTTAATATATTTAATATTCGGTTCCCAAAAATTGAATATAATATATGTAAGGTAAGACAAGATTTCTGTTGAATTAATTTGTAAATTAAAAAAAAAATTAAGTTACATTTGATGAAATGTAATTTAACTATTAATTACAAGCAAAAGGGGGAAAGAACAAAAGTTCGCATATATTTTTATCTAAATGTATAGGAAAAATAACAAACCCAAGCACTCACATATCTTTTACTGGAGTTCTCGACAACTCTAACATTTCGGTACAAAGTATTCAATTAAACTAAAAGCGTTAAAAAACGTAAAACCAGTAGTACATGCTAGTATACAATTTCAACATTCACATAGCCGCGCGCATTATATAAATACAACTCAACTCACTTCATACAGCGAGATAATTTTTATTAATTTTTTTATTTTCCATTATTACACTTAATTATACGCCTATTTTAAGTCCATCTTTAAATGCTATTGATTTATTTTCCGACGTATTTTATACATACCATAAACATATCATTCATTTTTATTTTTCGGAAATGACACAATGAGCCTTTGAGTCATTTCCGAAATGATTCAGAATGAACCTATTCGGAAATGACACCTTTCCGTTTTTTGTAAAATACTAGGAATACTTTTGCTTTTCTATAATATTTCCTTAGCAGCCTCATTTTATCTCTCTCTGTCTCTTTTTTCGATCACATACAGCTACGATATTTTCTCTTTATTTACCCTTTTGACTATAAAACAGTGTCATGTAAACAGCAAATCATATATGATAATCAAGGAATAAAAATAAAATCAAAATTAAAAACGAATGATGGGCTACTGGGGGCTTAATTTGGAATTTCTCAGCTTCTATTTAAATAAAAAGTAAATTAATTTTTAAATGTTTTAAATATATACATATAATGCTTATTTTAATTCACATCTACCACTCTTTTTTTTCTCTTATGTTTTATATTTTGGCTAACGCACGCATTAAAAAAAATGTTTTATATTTTTTTCGACAACATAACTCTGGGACTTTTTTTCGCTCACAAGGCAAAAATGCTTCAATATACCGTGCTCTGAGAATTTTTTTTTTTTTTTTGTCTGTCTATCACTTCCGGCGTATGGTCCTTGTGTAATCTTGAACGAATTAACGTCAAAATGGCAGCCCATAAGAAAAAGCGTCGTGTGCAGCAACAAGAAAAAGAATCTTCTGATACCGGTAATAATTCTCCTACACATGACGATGATGTAGTTCCAATGGTGAGTCTTAAAATACTTTTAACTAATATTAGATTACTCAAACAATACCCAATTTTGTAACATATTTAGGGTTACCGTATTGTAGCTGTGAGAATTTAAGGGCATTGGCTTCTGCAGGATGGACTCGAGTTACAATTGTAATTTTCCCATTGATGCATGTAAAATGTATTTATAATCAGGTATTTTTTATAAATGCAATATTCTGTTTTCTGCTAGTGACCCCGCATATTAAAAAGTAAACAAAGGTATATTTATGTAATTATTTGCGAGCAGCCGCATCTGAAATGTTGAATGTCTAAGACATTATGAAAAATTAATTTTAATGTGCGTGTGTGAATAACTCAAATCTTTTTTGCTTTGTTAGGTGGTGTTGAATGTCGACTTTGATGTAAAATTTCCTGAACCTACTGATCGCCCTAGTGTAATAACTCTTTTACAGCAGGTAATACTTTTTTATATTAATTCTTTGTTTTTATTTTGTTTTGTGACTTAATTAATCCATTTGGCTTTTGTCCATTATATTCATGTTTATTTGTATAACTCAGACAGTAGGTCCACCCTGTTATGCTATTATATAAAACTGATAGCAAACTCTGTAAAATTTCATGAGATGTATTTTAATGGCTTAATTTGCTGCACTGTAAGGATTTTCATCCGCAGAGAACCCGTTGGCGCCATTGCATTTTTACTCGCCAAGCTTGTGGTTCATCGACGATCAGCCGAACCGTGAAAGTGATTTTGGTTAATCTTTGGATTATGGTAACTTGGCGATTAATTGGCAACAAACTCAGCTACAGCAAACCTTTATTTTTTTTTTCACCGCCATTTTGTCTTCATGAAGTAAAGACATGTTTCTTTTCTTTTTATTTACTCAACACTTTTTCCAACAATCTGCTAGCCGAATTACACTTATGCTAGAAATTTTATGTAACAAAACTGCTTAATCATGACAAATATTAATTGCAAAATTGGGAAAAAGTGCAGAATCGCTAACTCCTTGCCGCGTTTTTCAGAATCACACATACACAGTAACCATGTACACGTCGACTTATTTTTATTTAAAAAAACATCCCAGAATTGCACAAAAATGGCATTGCGTACACTCTTGACTTTATCCATCTACACTTCTATTTTCTCATAAATTAAAAAAATTTCACGAAAATGCATAAAAATTTTGTGAATCTTTAAACTCGGTAAAAAGCACATATATGAAATTACCTGATCCCAAAAAAGTATATACCCTTTCCAAGGATGAACATTTCCACGTGTAATATAAATAAAATATCTGAAAACTTTTACCTCTAAATTATCTATTATAAACGTCACCAACGAATTTATAATGCAAACATTAAAAATGGTTGCGAATACTTAGTGTCAAATATTTAAATTATTTCCATGCACGTTTACTTCACTGAAACGTATACCAAATTGCTACAAACATATAATTCAAAAATAACTATCAATTTAATAACATATAATTAAATTAAAAGCACTACTTAAAATATAATAAGCACATACATTAAATTAATAAAAATTAGCTTACAATCCTAATTACTTTAAACTAAATCATTGCTAATAACAATTTTCAATAATACCATATTAATTTATTTACTCCTTACATTTAGAACAATGCATAGAAATAATATCCTCAAATATTAAAAATACTAACTTACCTAATCTTCTCAGAATCTTGATTACGTGCGATAAACTTTCTTATTCCTCCGCTAAATAAAAAACAAAATTCTCTTTATCATAATGCTTCGGAATGGCGCTTTTATAGCACTCCACATGCCCTCTATTGTATTCGTATGTGCGCCTGTTTCAGGATGTTTAAAATCATACTTATGGTTCACAGCAAGATGTGAAACCTTCTCCTGCAAACAGACATATGACTTCCAGCATCAGTATATATTATTGTACCAGGTAATATATTACTGCTTATAAACTTAATAAGCAATCTTTACTTCTATCTCGCACAACCTTAAAAAAACACTTATTACTACCCCTTTCAATCCCACTAAATACCCATTTCGAATTCACTTTAGATAGGGCCATGGGATCCAAAAATTAACCAACACTATTTCAGACAACACAGAGTGAAGCTAAATGTAAAATGCACAAATACAAAAGCTAAATACAAAAAGTACTGCAGATATTTTTCCAGATTTCCCCCTTTTTCCGATTAAAGAACTGTAATTCGTTCATTAATGTCACATGACATATCTCATGATCTCTCATTTTCCTCACACAAAATAATGCGTAATCGGAACTGAGTACTTCTCACATTATTCCCAAAGTCCTAGGTAGTAACCTTAATCGCCTACTAAAATGTTGCCAAACTACCTGTTACCATATTCCAAAGATTAGCCGTGATTTTTAGTGCATGTAAATTCAAGTTAGACGACAAAACAATATATTAAGCATATGGTAGTAAAAATTCACAGATAATAAGCATGTAGATCTAAAACTAACCGGTTAAACGTAATATAGGAAAATAAATTTGTATTAAATTCAAGTTAGCACAGAAAAGAATATATTAAGCATTAGACAATATATAAGCATTTATAACGGAAATAAGAATTCATTTAAAAATATAAATTAGTATTAATGTACTGAAATTAACCGGTTAAACGTGATAAACGAAAATTTGCCCTAAATTCCAGTTAACACAGAAAACAATATATTCCTTACACCAGCAGTGGCTTGCTAATTTTGATGACCATGGTGATGCATCAAACTATTCTGTCATCTTAGATAATCAATAATATTTTTTTATTTCAATTTAATCATCTATTTATGTCACACCTGCCATCCTCTGAAAGGTTATTGTTAGAAAAGCATTAAAAATATCTTGTTAAAATTTTACGCCATAAAAATTGATTTATTCTCATAATTTTAGATGACAGTAACCAATAATGGTTGATCTTTGGATTATGGTAACTTGGCGATTTTTTCACGAAAATTTGGCGACCAACTCTACTACAGCAACCTTCTACTTTTCTTTTTCGGCCGCCATTTTGTCTTCACGAAGTAAAAGACATTCTTTTCTTTTTATTTACTGGAACACTTTTTCCAACAATCTACTAGCCGAATTACACTTATGCTAGAAATTTTATGGAACAAAACTGCTTAATCATGACAAATATTAACTGCAAAATTGGGAAAAAGTGCACAATACACAACTCCTTGCGCGTTTTTCAGAATAGCACATACACATAAACCATTTACACGTCGACTTATTTTTACTTAAAAAAACATCCCAGAATTGCACAAAAATGGCATTGCACACACTCTTAACTTTATCCATCTACACTGCTATTTTCTCATAAATTACAAAAATTTGCACGAAAATGCAAAAAAATTCTGTGAATCTTTAAACTCGGTAAAAAGCACATATATGAAATTACCTGATCGCGAAAAGTATATACCCTTTCCAAGGATGAACATTTCCACATATAAAATAAATAAAATATCCAAAAACTTTTACCTCTAAATTATCTATTATATTATAACGTCACCAACGAATTCATACCGCAAACATTACAAATGGTTACAAATACTTAGTGTCAAATATTTAAATTACTTTCCATGCACGTTTGCTTCAACTGAAAACGTATACCAAATTCCTACAAACATAAAATTCACAAAATAACTATCATTTAATTAAAATATCACTAAACCATATACACGTCGACTTAATTTTACTTAAAAAAAAATCCCAGAATTGCACAAAAATGGCATTGCGCACACTCTTCACTATATCCATGTACACTGCTTTTATTCTCATAAATTAGAAAAATTTCACGAAAATGCATGAAAAAAGTACTCAACGTATTCTACTCAAACGTATTCCAAAATACTACAAAACATATAAACTCACAAAATCACGAATCATTAAATTAAAATATAATTAAACTAAAAAAACACTACTTAAAATATAAATAAGCACATACATTAAATTAATAAAAATTAGATTACAATCCTAATTACTTTAAACTAAATCATTGCTAATAACATTTTCCAATAATACCATATTAATTTATTTACTCCTTACATTTAGAACAATGCATAAAAATAATATCCTCAAATGATTAAAAATACTAACTTC